AAGGTTTCAATATGTTGTGCTCCCAATTACTTAACCAACCTCCTTATGCCCCCATGAATACATGAAACAGGTGGACATTGACGTCTTGAAGAGGAAGACTGTGATCCTGTTCATTTCAGACATCGACGTCGTCCATGAAAACGAGTATATGATTGTCCAAAATATGTACATGGAAAAAAGGCAAAGCCCAACAAGGCCAGAGAGCCAGTACGAGGTTGTGTGGGTTCCAATTGTGGACACATGGACTGATGCCAAGTACCAGCAGTTTGAGGAGCTTAGGAGAAACATGGAATGGTACACAGTGTTCCACCCCTCAGTGGTCTCTCCAACTGTGATCAGGTACATCAGGAAGAAGGACAAATGGAACTTTCAAAAGAAGCCTCTGCTTGTGGTAATGGACCCTCAAGGCAAAATAGTGCACACCAACGCTGTTCACATGATGTGTATTTGGGGAAGCATAGCCTTCCCTTTCACCAGCAGCAAAGAGAAATTGCTCTGGGAGGACGAGACCTGGAGGATTGAACTTTTGGCTGACTCCATCGATCAAAATCTCTTTAACTGGGTACGTTCTATTACTATATATGTATACGTTGTCGAACTGTGAATCTGAATAGCGCGTTTAAGCAAAATCATATATTCTAACCATGAAATAGTCCATGTGAGACTGTTTTTGTCAAGAGGACTAATTTTTCGGATGATGAATTTCAGATTGCAGAGGGGAAGTACATTTGCTTGTATGGTGGGGAAGATATGGAATGGATCAGGAATTTCACAAGGGCAGCAAAAAAAGTGGCTGCGGAATCTGGGATCCAGTTGGAGTTGCTGTATGTGGGGAAGAGCAAACCAAAGGAGAAAGTGGTGAAGAACATCATGGCCAACATTCAACTTGAGAAGCTAAGCAACACCCTCGAGTGGAACCTCATCTGGTTCTTCTGGGTACGTCTGGAGAGCATGTGGCAGTCCAGGGGACAACAGCTTCAGACAGAGGCTCTGAGATCAGGTCGTCTTACCGATAGCTTGAAAAACGACGCGGTGATGCAGGGGATCATATCAATGCTCAGCTTCGGCTCGAGTGACCGTGGATGGGCTGTCATTGGGACAGGTACAGCTGGCATGTCCAAGGCCAATGGGGAGCACATGTTCAGAAGCTTGAATGAGTTTAACTTGTGGAATAGAAGGGTGAATGAGATAGGCTTTGTGCCTGCGTTGAATGAGTACTTGGCTGGGGTGTATAAACAAGCACCACATCACTGCACCAGTCTCATACTGCCCGCTACGGGGCTCATGCCTGAGACCGTGGCCTGCGCCGAATGTGGCCGGCTCATGGAGAGGTTCACCATGTTCCGCTGCTGCACTGACTGATCTACATGAGCTTGTTGCATTGCACCAGACCACCAGAGTGATTTTTATGATATATTGAGGAGTTTCATTCTGGAGTTCCTACTATTTATGTATGATAATAATGAAGGTGGTGCTTTAGCTAGGTGCCGCCTAGTGTGTGTTTTCTTATGATGCCATCTTATTGAAATCAATAAATTTGAAGTATTCCTTCTTAATTTGCTTTCATTTTACTTCTCTATATATGTTATTATTTTTCATGGTCACATTGCATGTCAAGATCAATATACATAGAGAAGTAGAGGAAGGGGAGAAAAAAGAATGAGCAATTCGTTTGATTGAGAGAGAATTAACAGAGACATTATCTTTATTATTTAATTTGCTGTCCTATTTGACTTGCAAAGAAACCAGTGACATTGACAAACAAAACGCAGAACCTACAAAATGTCTGATTCTAGATTAAAATGAGACACTCCACTGGCTCATCCATTCTTGTTTTACGTTCAAAAATTATAAAATGTTTCACTTTACAACTTATAAGTAGGGGTGGGCATCAATCCGGCCGAACTGATTAAATTGGCCGATTCGAACTGTAATTATCGGTTTAATTTGGTTTTGACCTTTTATAAACTTACTTAAACTAGACCGGACCATCTATTTATATATTTATTTATTTATTTTACATATGTAGTCCTCTAATTAGATAATAATTAGACCCTCTATTTATATATTTATGTATTCGTATTTTATTTTACACATGTAGTCCTCTAATTAGATAATAAATATATATATGACTGTTGAATTTGAAGTTATATGGACCTTTTTAGTTGTTGATATTTAAAATAGCTATATTAGTTATTAAAATTTGAAGTTTTATGGCATGTTGAGTTTTAGGATGGTTTGATACGCTATCAAATTAAAAAAGTATGTAAAGTTGTGATTTTTTTAGTTGTAATTGGGCTAATAATATTGAAAAAATGTAAAAAAGATAATTGGGTTTAGGCCCAAACTGGCCAAACCAAACCGTTTTAAATATATTGGTTTGGTTTGGTTCGATTTTCTCCTTGATATTTGTCAAAACCGAATCGAACCAAACCGTTATATTGTAATTAGTTTGATTGTGATTTTAAGGTGTAATCGATCCAATCCAGACCATACCCACTCCTACTTATAAGTACTTCAAATTATCCGGCTCATGATTTTTAATAGAAGCTGAATAAACTGAAGTAAATGAATGGAGTAAAATTTTGGTCAATGATTCATAACATAAAAAATTGACTGTCAAGAAAAAGAAAAATTGATAAATACATAAGGAAAAAGGAGTCTGAACACATATCGAAACAAAAGGAACATGCAGGCTTATACCATTACACTCAACAGCAAAGAGAGACCGTTGCCAAATGTCAATTTTCTTTAGGTTTTTTTTTTTTTTTTTTTGACTCACTCTCACAGTTTGATCTTAGGATTGTTCATTCCGTCTAAAAAGTTCTCAACTAATTATCCTTTGATGAATTGTATCTTTCAATTCGGTTTTGGCTGATTATAGTGGACAAGTTTCCAGCTTAATCTTTGCCATTTCAAAATTAAATTATTGTAATTTAATGAGTCTAGTGATCGAGTATTTTTACTCACCACTTTAACTTAAGGCGTATATACAAAGTAAAAGGTTACCTATGGTTATACTTATGATCACATGTTAAGTATTAAAAAGGGTGATAACGATACACCTTGAGTTAAAATGGTGAGCAAAAATAGTTACATCGATGATATTGTAATATGTAATTCTTGACCCTATTTCTTTGGCTAAAGTTTTGTTTGGGGGGAATTATTTGGCTAAATCCGATACACACACTTTTGCAAGAAAAATTCTCAGCAGAAAACTTTTCCACCATCCATTTTTTGCCTTGGAAAATATGGAGCCTTACCATGAGAAAAATCTAAAACGGGAAATGCCAACTTACCTGCAGCAGCTTTCCCACCCGTGAAAAAAAAAACCCTAGCTAAAAGAAAACTCTCTCTCTCTCTCTGAAAGCTCAGCCGCCGCCCCCTTTGGGGGTTGGTGGCCATTTTCATTTTTCCAACCCGTTCCGTTTCCCCTCCCTTCCCTTCCTCACAGCCCTCCTCTATATCGTCTCTCTCCACCCCTGTTGCTGTTTTCTTTTATTTTTTCACGCACTTTTCTCTTGCCTCGTTCTAGTTTGGTTTTGGCCCAGATCTCTCCTTACCCTCCTTTCTACTGCAACTGCAGCTTATCTTGGTGGGTTCGTGGTTTTCTGGTTGTTCCATCGGAGGTCTGCGCAGTGGTGGGCTCTGATTTTGGTGCTCATGTTTAGATCTACTCAGATCTATTCATTCTCGAGGACTACCAGTCGGCCTAAGGTCAAGTTTAAGAGGTCCTGCTCCATACTGACCCAAATCCATGGCTCATCTGGATTCCTTCACCTCCCTTTTGATCTGGCCTCATCCTTAGTTTGCAGCTGCAAATTTTAAACGCGTTTTGGTGTGTATTTATTGAAAGGTGTGTAGAGCTCTAGTAGCTCGGGTGCTTGCACCACCTCCTTCCAGGTTCTTGGTTCTTTTCCTCTTAGCTGTGGAATTGGTTTTCTCATTCCTTATTTGTTGGCTGCTGTCCTTTGGATGTATTGGTTGGGTTAATTCTGGATCTGTTAGTGAATCTCGAGTGGGCTATGTTTTGAGGGATGTTTGGCTTGGTTTGCTGACCTACAGGTGTTTGGTTCTTCATGGTGGTGATTGGTGGCTTGTCCATCTACAGTCGTGGAGTTTCTTTTTGCTGGTGGTGGTGGCTTGGAGTTTCTCTTTGGTTGTGGCAGCTAGGTTTCATGTGTTTTATTTTATGTATTTTATGTTTAATGTGGGCTTTATGCTGAATGTGGGTGTAATTCCTCTTTGTGGACTATATGCCTTTATGTGGGCTAAATGCCTTTTTGTTGGCTTTTGACGGTTTAGTTTTTGGCTGGGGAACATGATCTTCATGGTATACTGTACTGGTTTTAGCTAGATTTGTTCTTGTATGCTTTCTGGCTGATGCTTTTGCTTGGCTTTGTTTGTACTGTCCTCTACCCCTTTGGGGGTTTTTGACCACACACCCAAAAAAAGAAAAAAAAAAGAAAAAAGGGGGGGGAGGGGGGGAAATGCCGAAAGAGGCCCAAATTGAGGGTCTAAACAAAGAGAGTGGATATTCAAGATCTCGTTTCGGCTCAGAAGTAGAAGGTCCAAAATGAGGCCCAACTATCTAAATAAAGAAGGAACAAAACAACATTGTTCAAGAATCCTAGGAGGACAGCATGCATAGTAAAAGGAAAAACAGAAAGAAAAAAAAAACCATTCAATGATGTAGCTTGAGGCAAACTCTTCAATAATGTAAACCGTAACTGTGAACAAAACATGTGTCTCACGACTGGCTGCAGTTAACAAAAAATATTCCTGGAGTACGAATATCTGGACTCAAGTTTCGTAAAGGTGAAAAAAGATTTGGAATGGCGACAAGAGCTGAAGCCCCTTATCCGAAGATCAGTATCTATATATTCTCTCCACTGATATAGGCTAGCAACCCCACTGTATGATTTAAACCCCAACGCAAGCAAGGTAGCAGCTTTTTGTCTGTTAACATGCATCAACTATATAAGGACTAGCTGGCTACACATAAACCCAAACCATTTCTCCTCTTCTACCAATTTCCCCTCTCAGATAAGCTTAGAGCCTGCCCTTTGCAAATGGCCCTTGTACCTCAATATAAGTCCACTGCAGTAAGCAGAGGAGACAACCGTGCTCGTACTTCGGCTCTCAGAGATGGCCGTCGTCCGTTTTCGTCAACATCGGATGACAGTGCTTTGGTGAACCAAATTCTGCTCACTGATAAGTCTCATGACCGTCCCTACGAGGTGTCTTCTCTTGCAGTCAAGAACATTCTCCAAACCATTGAGGCCATTCTGTCTCGTGTCACTAGACCTGACTCCCATGGCGCCATTGTGCTGCCGGTACGTCCATGCCTAATTGTAATTTTGTGTCATTTCACTTGATTGCTCTTCAACCTCTGTTGATTAATTATATGTACAAAGAATATGCAGCTTAGCTGCATGACAATTCAGTTTATTTACATGTTGCTCATCTGTTGTATTGTGTTGACCTTGTTTGTGTATTATAATTAGGGAACACCGATACCGGCAGCTACACACGCGGATGCTTTGGAACATGAGAAGGCCCTCCATGCTAGCCTCAGCACCCTAAGTGAAAGCTTCGATGTTCCAAACCACGTGTTTAATGCAATTTCTTGCGAGGTAAGTGAGATTCAGATTGATAGTTTAACAACATAACATAATCCATTTGCATACAAATTTTGTTGATTGATGTATTGGGAGACAGATATTATGCAAGTCGCTGGCTGGGGAAGATGCAAACAAGACAACCATGGATATACTAGACATTGTGCAAAACTATGATTGGGATGAAAAGGTGGTGCTTGCATTGGGAGCTTTTGCTGTGAAAGATGGTGAATTTTGGCTTGTGTCTCAGCTCTACACCTCCAACCCACTGGCCAAAGCGGTTGGACAGCTTAAGCAATTGCAAGAGATATTGGAACGTGCTGGGACAATCTTGAAGCCTAAATTTGACGCCTACAACAATCTGGTTAAGGGCGTGCTCAAAGTGACAAAGAGCATTATTCAATTGCAAGATCTTCACAATGATCCCCACTTGACCCCCGAAATCAAATCTGCAGCTTCCACCGCTCATATCCCCACTGCTGTTTACTGGACAATTCGGAGTATCGTAGTTGCTGCATCCCAACTTTTGGGGATCACAAGCTCCGAACCAGAGTAAGTTGTTTTATAATGTGCTATAATCTTGTCCAGAATGAAACTGTTTGTACCGTCTCAACTGACCACTTGGTGTATCAGGTACGTAACAGAGGCATGGGAACTATCATCTTTGGCCCATAAGCTCGAAAGCATATTCAAGCACCTCCAGGAGAATCTCAACAAATTAAACCAAATCATCCGTGAGTCTTACCCAAAAACAAAACAGAGTAGATGGCTTGTCCAGTATATTTGTTTGTGGCTAACTAGATATCAATGGTATGTGATGCAGAGAAGATCAAAGACGAGGATGCTTTCAATGCGATTGCACGCATTCTAGAAACACCACACATTGACAACACCAAGCCTCTAAGGGTTTTGTTTTACAAGGATGACCAGCCTGCTCTCTATGACTGCTACAACAAAAAGAGGGTTTGCTCTAAAATCTATCTTTCTCTTCTCATTTAGAAGCCACCAAGTTTGCAATGTTTGTACCCCAATTCATTTTTAAAAATTGAAACAGGTTGACATTGATGTGCTCAAGAGGAAGGTAGTGATTCTGTTCATCAGTGACCTCGATGTCCTCCATGAGAGCGAATACATGATTGTCCAGCAAATGCACATGGAAAAACGGCAGAACCTGGCAAGGCCAGAGAGCCAGTACGAGGTTGTGTGGGTTCCAATCACGGATGAGTGGACTGAAGCCAAGTACCAGCAATTTGACAGCCTAAAAGCTAATATGGATTGGTACACTGTGTCCCACCCTTCGGTGGTGTCTCCGATTGTGGTCCGGTACATCAGGGACCAGAGGAAATGGAACTTTGTGAAGAAGCCTCTGCTTGTTGTCATGGACCCTCAAGGCCAAATAGTGCACAAGAATGCTGTTCACATGATGTGTATTTGGGGAAGCATAGCCTACCCTTTCACAAGCAACAAAGAGAGAATGCTCTGGGACGACGAGTCCTGGAGGATTGAGCTTTTGGCAGATTCAATTGATCCTAATTTATTTACTTGGGTACATACTCATCAATCATATGCATATCTAAAACTGTTACTTGTAATTTGGTCAGCTAAAATGACTACAAAAATATTTGGTATCAATTTCAGATCACAGAGAGGAAGTACATTTGCTTGTACGGTGGAGAGGACATAGAGTGGATCAGGAACTTCACTAAGGCTGCAAAAAGTGTGGCTCTTGAAGCTGGGATTTCATTGGAATTGCTTTACGTGGGGAGGAGCAAGCCTAAGGAGAAAGTGGTGAAGCAGATCATGAGCATCATCCAAGCTGAGAAGCTAAGCCACACTCTTGAGTGGAGCATCATTTGGTTCTTCTGGGTTCGGCTCGAGAGCATGTGGCAATCCAAAGGACAACTTCTGAGTGAGCAATCAAAGACCCATTTCATGACAGACAATTTGAAAAATGATCCTATAATGCAGGGGATCATATCAATGCTGAGCTTTGGATCGAGCGACCGTGGGTGGGCTGTGATCGGCATTCCCTCAGCAAACATGTCTAAGGCCAATGGAGAGCACATGTTGAAAAGCTTGAAGGAGTTTAACGACTGGAAGATTAGGGCAAGCGACGTAGGGTTTACTCCGGCGCTGAATGAATACCTAGAAGGGGTGTACAAACAAGCTCCCCATCACTGCACTAATCTTATTTTGCCTGCAACCGGAATCATGCCTGAGACGGTGGCCTGCGCTGAATGCGGGCGTCTCATGGAGAGGTTTTCCATGTTCCGCTGCTGCACCGACTGAATGAAATCATTCCTATAAGCTGCAGCTGCTACTGCTGCTTCTTCTACTTTGCTACTATTTTGATAATAATTACAGCTTCTAAAAGGTCCCAAGCATAGCATCTATGGTGCTTCAGGGGCTTAATGTGTGAATCTTTTACTTGTTGCAGTTCCATATTATTATAATTATCAATAAAATTTGATTACCACTTTCATTTGCAAGTTAATTTATTAAGAAAATCCCTTGGAGATCTGATCAAGAATTGCAAGCAAAGATAAGAAAACAAGAAATGACAAGTGAGCTCAGACATATCCCTTACTAATCAGCTTCTGGTTGTCTAAGACCAGATCATAACTACAGCCAAGGGTTTGTTAATCATCACCGCTCACAAATTTCCAAAAATTAACAACAACAAAAACCCACAAATTATTATTTAATTTTAATCCAAGAGAATTTAAATTTGTACCAGGAGACAGGTAGCACAGTGCAAAACGCACGGTGCTGTTTAATACTGGTGTGATTTTTAATCTATGCTTCGGAAACTTGAACATCCCCAACCAATCGAAATTTACAGGGCGTTCACCATAAGAAGCAACGAATTCATTTACAGACGAAAATGTCACGACCCAAAACCATTAACGAGACTACAATGCGTAGCCTGTTTTTGATAAATTGGGTTGGGATCGAATTTGAATCTACGCTTCCGTTGACACGTCCCTCTGGATTTGAAAACCAGCCGATGAACGTAACGCCTATCGAAAGCGACTCGAAAGAGAAACAAATAAAACCCTAAATTTGTTCTAGTTCTACTGAAAATAATCTTAACCGAAATGTTTACATTGAGGAAGAGCGGCGTTAGGGTTTGGGACTGGTAGGCCGGGATTTATAGAAGGGCTTGGCGGATTGGACGTATAAACGTACCCCTCTATGTTAATAATATAACGAGAATGCCATTCCCGCATTTGGGTGCTCTTGTGTGTCTGGGCTTCTTCTGTACTTGTGTAATGTTGCAATGGGCCCAACTAAATTATGGGGATGATTATATTGGTCTTAGTTTTGGAGAGATGAACCCAAATTTTAAATTTATATTAGTTAGCAGAAGGAACAGAGTTGCCTACAAGTTTTGACAACCTTCAAACATACCCAAAATTTGATCACTGCATCCGTCACTTAAAATTATCGATAATTGGTCAAGGCAATGTGCCCGATCTTTTATACTCGAGTTCGATTTTCCTCCGCACAGATTAGACATCGTTAGATATTGCTCAGTCAAAAGAAAAAACAAACAAACAAAAAGAACCCTTGGATGGAATTGATTGAAAGATTAAAAGATTAGAGAAGTTAAATTGGTCAGTTTTAAAATTTGTTTTATTGCATATGAATAGATGATTCAATTCATAGCCCATAACCTTTTATGGGTATGGATTCATTTTGGTAAGGCCAGCCGGAGGTCTTTTTTAAGGTAAAGTTAAGCCCGGCAAGTAACATGTAAAATGTAAAATGTAAAAAATAAAAAATAAAAGATGCCCCCATGCAGGATCGAACTACAGACCTTCAGTTTACAAGACTGACGCTCTACCACTGAGCTATAGGGGCTTGTTGATCCCGTATGCGAACTTTGACATATTTTAATTTTAATTTGTTTTAATTAGGAACTTCTCACTGACTCACTCTCTCTCTCTTTGCATGCATTATTATTATTATTAATGACAGTAGTTCTCTATCTAATCTGTTGATAGGGAGAATGGTTCTCCTGTTGGACTGGGGCCTGACTCGGGTCAGGACTAAAACGTATTCTGGGCTCTTGGTTGAATCGGTCTTTCAGGATAACCTACACACTTCAAGTAGCTAGACTATCAGAAAAGGGGAAATTGGTGTGATACCAGTCAAACCCCCTTAGATGGCTAAGTTAGAGGCTGGTTTGAAGTAGGTAAATGGGTGAGAATGGTTATTACATTTGTCTCAATGTAGGTTAAGAGTGTTTATAGAGGGAGAAGGGGGGACCTGGGGTGGTCAACCTAGTCGAGTCGGTACATGAGTGCCCCAACCTTACTTGACCACGTGGCGTCCTCTGATAGGCTCGGCTATTTGACCTACTAACAGAGTCAAACAAGCTAGTGCCGTATGGGGGAGTGCATTAATTTGACTATAAAAATTGAAGACTAGATGTTAAGTGAATTTGACCCTTCAATGTTTATATATATTGGTCAACTCTGAAACTGAATCAAAAGCGCAGAAAACATTGAGCAGAGAGATGTCTTTTGAATGAAAACCAAGCTCATCACGTTTGGGTTTTCTTCTCATGTACCTTTGTTTATGTGTTTTTCTTGTTTGTTGCTATAATTTTATGTCCCCCATATTAAATAATACCAAGGCGGATTGCTGCAGACAGACAGCCGATAGTTTTCACATATGAGAGAGCTTGATTGAAAGAGACCGTGACCTGTTTCCTTTCCTTGCATGCAAGGTTCAAAAAACCAGGACAAAAAAGAATACTTACTATGGCTGCTTTTTGTATACTGTTGGGACCTCATGGCTACTCTTATGGATAAGAATTTCAAACAATAAAAAGTATTTCTTGCTTATCCATATTCTATAGTGGAGAGCCTTCCCATCATGTTTATTTTTGGCTTTCTTTTTTTTATGTCTACAACATCCATCTGCTTGATTTTTATTCAAACAGTAATGAAAAAGGGCAAAATATGGATGAGCTTTTGTGGATGGCCGCAAGTTGGCAATTTGATTTTCCAAATTCTGTGATGCCGAGAGAGAGAGAGGTCAATATGACTCAAAGATACAGTAGACAGTGACGACATGATCCAATCCAAAAAGCATTGCGTTGTTAATTACTATGATTTTGAATCAACCCACATTAGTCGTCGATAATTATTTAGAATGGAGGATTGTCCTCTAGTAATTAATTCTTAATTTAGTTTCAATCTAAATTAATTACTTCAAATTGGTGCTGTCTAAGTCGCCCTTTTTTCAGAGACAATGAGGAGACAGCTCGCATTTGTCCAGTAACATTGTATTTAAGAAACCGAGATTGATGAACTGCTCAATCAACCACTACCTAAGCATCAAAGGCTGAAACAAAATTATTTTTCTTCATTTATTATTTTATTTATACAAACACTAGTCTAAAAAATTACTCTAATATATATGAAAATGGAGACTCAAACTTGAGAGCAATAGGAGTGATCTCAGCACCCAGAACAACTTGCCTTCCCCGCATCTACTTTCTGTATATATTCCCTAATTAATTAGTAATGACGTGCAAGTGTACTAAGTTCATTTTTAATTAAATGCGTGGAAACAAATTAAGGCACAGTGCATGGAGATAGCTAGACATGCCATGCGTGGATTGTGATAGAAATGCACGCCGTATGCTTTGTTAATCTAACTTGGTAATCTCAGGTATGATGTCAAAGATTGAAAGGGGACAATTGATTGGCTGTTGTTGTATAATTAATCGCGTTCTTTGAGGGTGTTATGCAGCAAAGCACAAGGAATTCACAAAGTTGTTTTTTGTCTTCATCTGCTGAGGACTTGCTCTCTCTGCTTCTTCCCTCCCATTAAATACTGAATATAATATTCTTCTTTCAGTCGATCAAATAAAGTGATGACATCCTCTGCGTTAGATATATGATAATCAATTCATATATATATTAGTGAAATCAGAAAAGTCATCATCTGTTACATCCATACAACAATGAACAACAATAGTAGAAGGAAAAGAGAGAGAGAGAGAGAGAGAGAGGACTTGGAAGTTGGAGGAGCTGCTGCAATATTTCACATTTCTAAATCTTTAATCAACGCACCAAAACAAGTCTGTATTAAACAAACCAATGATTATGGTATCTACATATCTAACAAATCACATCTTCACCAAAAATATAATATAAAATCTAGCAAATCACATCCAGAAAAAAATTCAGATAATGATCGTCGACTGCGGCGGGGGCTACTGCCGCAGTAGATTGTATGGTACTTGCTGTACGTAATTCTTTTCTTACATTTTCAACTGACACACTGGATTAATATTCTCACTGTTCCCATTCGAAACTGATACATGCCACACCTTCACCTCTCCGTCTAAGCTCCCGCTGTAAACAGTAACGACACCGTTTGAACCACCGTCCGCAACTGCCACCAGCGACTTCACCGGCCTCACGTGCCCCTCCAAAACCGCCAAACAGCTAAAACTCCCGTCTCCCCCACGCTGCCACATCCTGACCGTCCGATCAGCGGACCCACTCAACAACATATCACCGACGTTGATTAAACACAGTATAGCTTTTCCGTGCCCTCTCAACGCCCCCGTCACCGCCATGTGGTTCGCACTGTCCTCTCTCTCCCACACCAAGATTGAACGGTCACAAGCCCCAGAAAACAGCACCGATCCGTCGTCGTTTAGGGCCAGAGCATTCACCGCCGACTTGTGCTTCTCCAAACTTGCCACCAGCACGTGGCGCTTTTCTCCAAATGGTTTGGCCCACACCCGGATCCGCCGATCCGCCGATCCGGTGTAAACCGTCCCGTCGTTCGAGACCGCCACGGCGTTCACAGCGTCCTCGTGCGCCTTAACGGACTCAACGCAGCGGAGATCGGTCTCCCGCCAAATCTTCAAGCTCTTGTCCCAGGAAACGGAGTAAATCAAGCCGTTATTAACAGCGATGCCGGTAACGGTATCAGCGTGTTCGATCCAGAGCCGTTTCTTGTGGCGGCGGATGGTGACGTAGTTCTTGGGGAGGACGAAACGGCGCAGGCGGTCTGTGACGGTTGGGAGAACGGTTAAAAGCTTGTGCCGATTAGTCGCCGTCGTCAACTGCCAGGCTCTAATTTTAGAATCTTGGTGCGAAGTGAGCACCTTGCCGTCAGAAAAACTAACGGCCTTAACAGAACCGGCATCGCGGGCGCTGAATGACTCGAGATGCGTGCAGGCAGTTCGATCGTAGATGTTGATCTCGTGGCCCGATGCGGCGTACAGAAGGTCGCGGTGCACCGCGAGGCAGGTGATCGGTAGAGAGGGCCGTCGGGGTGTGAGAGTGGTGAAGCAGAGGTGGTAGACGGATAGGTCGAGGGCGTCTAGAGGGGAGAGCTTCTGGAGGGAAGGGAGAGATGGCAGCGTCTGGAGGGAGAGATTGCTTTGGAGGCTGATACTGGAGGTGTCGCTAGTACTGGTACTGGGAAAATCGGAGGAGCTGCCGGTAT